CTACCTATTTGGTCAAATAGGGTTAAAGTTTTGTTTGTTTTTGTGTGGAGTGTTCTTTAATGTGACCAAATAAATTCATTCATTCATTCATTCATTCATTCAGTCATTCATTCATTCATTCATTCTTATTATTCTTATTCTTATTCTTATTATTATTATTACTGAACCATAGTCTGCCTTTTGTACCTTAGCAATATTTCCATGCTGGTGGTGTGGGTCTGAAGAAGACCTTCCTGGAGAAGAGTCCRGACCTCCAGTCTCTCCACTACGCCCTGTCCCTCTACACCCAGGCCACCGATAAACTCATCAAGACATTTGTCCAGTCGCAGAACGCTCAAGGTAAACTAATAATTTTTTGTCTTTTTATTGTCTCTGTTTTTATTCTTACTGTGAACTTTATTTTCTATCTCKTGTTATTGTTTGGTGTAGATTAGTCGTTTATTGTTTTCTGAATTATGAKCTTTATATCCTGGAAGTTTCTCTCTTGTTTTGTAGTGCAACAAAGACAAGTGCCAGTATTTCCTCAGCACTCTTAAATGCTGAGTCTTTTGGTAGCCAGCCTGCAGGAAATACTGAAATTGTTATTTGAACTGATCTGGCAGTCTTTTGCTGTGAAAAGAAAATTCCACCCCTTCTCTTCTCTTCTCTTCTCTTCTCTTCTCTTCTCTTCTCTTCTCTTCTCTTCTCTTCTCTTTGATTTGGTTGCTCAGCCTTCGTCCCGCCGTTAAAAAGCTTCATGTCGGCTGTCATGTTCTGAGGAAGCGTTGATGCTGACACATCGTCCCTGAGCTCAGCTGGAATGAATGAATGTTTAAGCTTTAATTAGACAAAATGCCATGTGGTTTTTAAAGTCTAGATGAAAAATGTTGTGAAAGTACACATGTAGGAGCTTTGCATGTCAGTAAGGTAGTTTCTGCTCTGCTTCTTATAGGAATAATAAAACCAATGTTTTTCTRCTCTGTAACTGAACCCCTGCAAATTTCACGTCTACATCTCTCTCCTTTCTCCGTCCACTCGCTCCTCCTGCCCCGTCTGTGGGCCAGTGTTCAGCGGGAAGGGGTTGAGATTCACCACTAGTGAGGATGTTTACCCAGAAAAGGGTATGTGGCACTCAGGCTTAGAGGCCGAGACATCCAGACCTGCTGCAAAAACCTCCAGACCAAAGCCCAGCTCCTTCCACCCTCAAACCTCCATATGCATCCTGACACCCCGCCCCCCCTCCCCCCGCCTGCTCAAACTCATCCCAACACACATTTTCCTTCTCTACACACACACACACACACACACACACATACCAAGCACAATCAGAACTTTCTGCATGAAAACACACACACTCTGATGTCTGAATGTACTCAGCTGCACAGAATACATACGTCATGATCAGTATGTATGAACAGCATGATGAGTGGACATCAGTGAAATATAATGAAAATGCATCAACGTGTGGAAGAATTCTGATGCAGCATGATGTCATCAAGAAGGGCCCGAGGGCCAAGTGCATCCAGGAGTGTGTGCGCGTGCGTGCGTGTGTGTACAGGACTGTAAATGACTTCCTTTAAGGCTGTAGAGGTAAAAGTGTTGAGTTTTTATATTTTTGCTTCCAGGGTCACAGCAGAAACTCCTTTTCTTCACAGCCCCCCCTGTGGAAAACACTGATGAAGAGCAGTCAGGGTTTTTTGTTAGGAACATGATGGCTGTTGGCTCGATTTGTCTGGGAGGGCTCTGTGCCCTTGCCTGCTTTGTCATCACACACACACACACACACACACACACACACACACACACACACACACAC